TTTTCTTGTTTTGCAGTTTGTCCACTTAATCCTGAAACACCCTGTATATTGTCTACGTAGAGCGTGTGGGAAATTCACAAAAGCATTTGTGTATACAATAAAGAATAATAATAAATTTAATGATTAGAAGTTTAGCGTTGCAGAAGAAAAGATAATTGACAAGGAAAAATAACTAATGAGGAATAAATAAAAATAAAAAAGCCAAAAAACAGACGTAGTTATCATCATCAGTCCGCTCAGGAGATGACAAAAAGTTTAAAATAATAAAATCATAATAATATGTCAAATACGGAAACTAAAATAAGTATCTATTATTTATAATTTTTACATTAGATAAGTATACCTTTTTACACCAACGCTATATTAACAAAGAATATAATGCATACATAAATACGTATTAACAAAATTATATAGTATATTCAAACATGAAAAAATGGGATTTTGAGGTCATAATGTAAGATCTGGTCTCCTCAACATGAAGGATAGACCAACGACAAAAGATATAAAATCCAAAAAAGGCGCGGCGTTGTTTTCCATCTTCTTCGAGCCCTCCCAGCAACTCCTTAAAGGCCAGTTTCCACAGTAGCACAGTCAAATTAGACATATTATCTTGCAAAAGGTCAGGTAATTCAAATTTCTTTTTTATATTGTTAGCTGTGCAGTGAATATAAAAACGCTGCATATTATTTCACAATGGTTTATTATTTCCAGACAATTATACATCTAAAGTAACATTACCTTCCTAGTTACAAAGAAAAATAAATAAAAGGTGCCAAGGATCCAATTATTGGACTAAACTTTTTCTGTTTTAATCATTATTAATATACTAAAAAAAAACCAGCATTACTTCGGTAACACATTCAAAATTCAAAAAACAAACCAAAGGATATAACCTTTGCATAGCCATATAACCATATCATTACTCCTAATTATCCGATTTTTTAATTTTTTTTTTTATATTTGTTTATTTAGAAATATCACATTCTGTCACATCAAGGACATTTGTAATAGTGTTCAGAGAACACACTCACACTCTATTTACAATAAATAAAAAAAATAATAATAATACAGAAACTTAATAATAATAAATACAATAAAATAAAATAAAAATAAATACAATAAAATAAAATAAAAATAAATACAATAAAATAAAATAAATGTATATAAACAAAAGAACTAACCTAATCATACACACTCGGGCTTGAGTGGAGGATCTGGCCATTGCCAAAACTCCAATAGATGCTTATTTACAGAAGGTCTCTGGGCCACTGCCGCTTCAACCTTCGAGAAGGATTGTAAGGATGGGTGGTGCTGGATAGAGATTGTGCAAGGGGATTTGGATGATAGGACTAAACTTTTTCTGTTTTAATTATTATTAATATACTAAAAAAAAACAGCATTACTTCGGTAACACATTCAAAATTCAAAAAACAAACCAAAGGATATAACCTTTGCATAGCCATATAACCATATAACCATATCATTACTCCTAATTATCCGATTTTAACGATTTTTCTTTGTTTTAGGAAATTTCGTAAACTTTTAAAAAACCATCGTCAAAATATATTCTTTGAGTTATTCGGAAGTATTTTTAGCATCCCACGTAACTTTTTGTCCAGCTTATTTTCGTTGAAGTATGTTATATAAATTAAAAAGGCGTGGAGAAAATGACTTTAGCGAAGTTTCATTGAAATCGGTACATCGTTTAGGCGCTGCAGTCTATAGCAACACAGGTTTTTTCGGCCCGTCATTTTGAAAGTAAAAGACGCATAGTAATGTCGATGAAGGAGGATCATCCTCGGGAGACCTATTAATTTATATAAAAAATTGAAAAAAACGGTCCTGTAATTTCGGAGAAAATGCACGGACGGCGGACGGAAAAAAATGTATTCATTTTTCGAATTCTAGGTATCCTGAAACGTAAAACCTCAAATTTTGAGTTAAGTTTTTGAATTTTTTGTTCAATAACAATGGTTCATTATTAAATAATAAACCAAAATATAAAATTTTCCGACCTTGAATTATTGACCTTTGCATATTAAATTTTTTTGGAAGCGAACTATTGAGATTTCAAAATTAACTTATTTCGATAGTGCTCTTCGAGTTTTGAACGGAAAAATTATGTAACTCCATTTTGATCTTCGATCAGAGAATCATTAGGTTTTTCTTGAAGATAATGTGTCATGGACTGCCATTGATTGTCGGGAGTTATTTTGAAAAGTATCTTAGACAGAGGGCCAGAACACTCTACCGTGAATCTCCGCACACCCCGATAAATTGCATATAGTTGCGTTTCTTGTAATTATTTATTAAATAAAAGCTAATGCACTAGCAAAAAGTGGCCGCAATATTCTAAAATGGAGTTTTTCAGATTGACGTTTTTGACTTGATTTAGTTTTTAGGTCACTGAGTTTCAGCATTTGGGTTAATTTCGCCATAATTGGCCTTTTATTAAAGCTAGGTAGTTAAACAGTAAAGCATGAAAGAATAACTGGGCTAGGCAAAAAAATCCAGTAAAATCAAGTTTTTCAAGTCGTTAAAACTAAAGTTAAAAATCAAGCGTCTTTTGGAAATAAACGGCCAAAAATGACGGAAAAAAGTTCTACAATAAAGCATCTGAAGAATACATTTCTCGTTCTAAAATACTAATTAATTTTTAAAATATTTGGAGCAGTTACTTAATACTACTTAGTACTTAGGAGCAGTTAGTGGAAAATACACTTGATCAGGGAAAAAGAGTCATTGGCATAGGCGTTTAGAATCCTCCACTACATTATTAAGTACTCATAAATGTTTAAGTTATAGTATGCTACAATGATTGTATTAATTTTTTATTGTATTAACGAACAAATATTAATACAATAATTTAATTGTCATTTTTTTTTCTTCAAAACTTTACCTATTTTGAATGCTGTATAGTTCACTTCCTGTTGGGTTTAGAAAGAAATATTATGTATAAAAATGTTAGATAATTTTAAACTGTTTATGATTGGATGTAACCATTTTTTATCTATGTCACTTTAAAAAGGAGATATTTAGCGTAAACCAAAAAAAGCTCGAAATTTCGAAATGGTTTTTGGAGCAGTGTTACTACCAGACAGTGGGTCCCGAAATCCAAAAAGACGTTAGAAAAACGGATCGTTTTGCTTTGAATAAATTTGTTTGAAATGATTATTTGAGTCTCCCTGAAAGATTTTAGCTTTCAAAAATACATTTTAACCTTTTTATTTAACTATACATATTCAATACATAAAATTAGGAAATTATATTTAGAAACATTTGTTATTCTCAGATCTGTCTTTATCTGAACATTAATAAAAAAGGTGCGCTGTAAAGATTTTTAAAATAATCAAATTGAATAATAATTTTATATAAAATATAATATTGTTAAGGATTCGTTAGACTGGAAAAGTAACTTCGGTTTTTATAATCCTTTTATCGATAACTATAAGCTAACCCAGCTATATTATATATACTATAGTATATAATTATATATATATATATATATATATATATATATATATATATATATATATATATAGATATATATAGATATATAGATATATTATTATTATTATATTATATATATATTCTTATATATTATGTATATATTATATATATTCGAGAGTTGTGCCTTTTACATAAGAGAATTAAAAATGACGGGAATATCCGCAAATACCCCGGCTGCTTTAGGAAATGATGAAAACATCTTAGGCAAAATCATGTTTTCTCTTTGGAGAAGAAATCTTAAAAAATCTCTGAACCTCTCACGCAGAACTCCCCACCTATTTTTTTCCTTTTACAATTTTTTTTTTTCCTCCTATTACCACTTTTTTTTGTTTCTTTTTCCTCTGTTTTTTACCTAACGTGTGAACTTTAAATAATTAAACTTTAGTAACAATAAACAACTTTTAACCTTAACGTGCATTATACATTTTTTTAAATTTTATCCAATTCTTAATATTCATAACCAAAAAATATAATAATGTATACTTTTAATTAACAGCGTTGATGATCAACAGGTTTTACGCCTTTACTAATTATTATTTAAATATTTGTATGTTATTTTTGAGTTATCTTCGGCAACAATGTAAAACCACTCAAGTCCTGTACATTTTGTTTTAGGGTTATTTTATTATTTAGAAAATAAAATAAAATAAAATTTACTCATAGCAATCATTTTTTTTTTTTTTTTTTTTTGCTCGATCGTATACAACTGGCTAATTATTACAAATAAAAAATAAAAATATACATCAATGTGATGGAATGTTCACATTAAAATGGAAAGTTGACCTGATTCATTTATTTCAATTTTAGTAAAGGTACCATGAAATTTAATATAAACTTCAACACACAACTCAAAAACTTAACATTTGAACATACTAAATTTCACCTTATATTGGTGTATTCATACATTTAAAACACCTAAATTTAATCTTAATTGTCTGAAAAAACGAGATCAATCTGAAATCTTACAAATAATTGATTATTGATATAACAATGAAAAATACCAAACTGTGTATATTTATTGCTCCATAAGATTTTTTTCCCTTCTAAATAACTCAGTACTTTCATTGTACAACTTAGCTACTATAACAAACAGTGATAACTTTTATACTGGATTTTATAGATATTATTTAGCAACGGTTTTCTAGTGAGACCATGACTAAATTAATTTTTTTTTTATTTATTTATGATTTCCTTAAAATTGCAAAATAAATATCCATTTATTCAATTTATTCGAGGATTCAGATTTAGATTTATTTGAAAATGAAATAAAAAATTTCTGCTAAGAGTTTGATTAAATAATGAGAGCTTGTTTCTCAACAGTATTGAAGCTATTAGATCCGATATATTTGGTGATTTATCAGTATTTTTATGACTTGCAATCGCACACGGCTTTGCACGCATAGTTTAATGATATAAAATTTCCAAAAATACGGTAAAATAATAATATAAAATACAAAACATGATGTAATCATCTACAATCGACAGCGCCAATGAAACTACGTCACACTAGTCCACCTTACTATTTATTGTCAGTGGGTAGTGAGAGGGAGAGCATTACTAACCATCTACTAAGTCGTGTGCACATCACCGACATGGCAGCAAGGGCACCCGTACACCTCAGAGGATTTATTGCAAGAGTCGCCCTTAACAAGTGAGTACGATTTACTTTGTTAACCAAATTATTATTCTTTATTAATAACTAGATAACTAGTACATAGATAGATAAATAACTACTGCCCGCTGTCCAGCTCGTTGCTAAAATTGTACAATTGTAATTTATATGTATTGCAACTGAACGAAACCAACAATTCGGACCAATTATTAACTTCTTTAAAAACCTATATTATTCATGGCGCCTTATTATATAGTTATGATTATTATTATTGCCAACCACTAACGGATCCAGGATTAAATTTTAGTGGAGGCTTCAGCCCGAAAGCTTTTATATATATAAAGATAAATTTTTAGAAGAAAAAGAAAGAAACTAGATGATATGGCGTATAAGTGATTCTTGAAGTTCTATTAAATGTAATTTCACCAAAAATAATTATTTTAGAGATAATTTTTTTAAAAAATTTTTCATAATAAATTTACATTTTGGAGAGGAGAAGGGAGAGAGAGGGGGCCCGAAAGCCCCCCGCTGTAATACCAATTTGTAACCATAATATTTATATATATATAAAAGTAAAAACCCAAATCTGGGATTTCATTGTTATTAAAACATATTTCGGGGGAAGATGCATGGTTAATAGTGAACCAGATAATTTTTTGAGAGATAATTAAGAAGAGGATTCTGCATTTAATTTTAGGAACTCTTTATATAAATAAATATATATATACATACATATATATATATATATATATATATATATTATATATATATATATATATATATATATATATATATATATATATATATATATATTCAACTTTTCCAGCTTCATACAAGCCCAACAAATTTTATCCTTTTATTTCTAATAATTTTATTGTACGGTATATTGAGCTTCCTTTTATATTTCATGATAATTATAATTGTATCACAATATAATATAAATAATATTATAAAGAATATAATAATTAATATATTGTATTGAAGGGGAAAGATTAAACATAAAATTACTGATGTCACCTAAGTAAAATGAAACTACCACCTCCAGATGAATAGATACCATTATTATGTGACAGGAGCTCATCACATACGTAAATAAAACATAGCTGTGTAATTAGTGCTAATTACAGAGCTAATAGAAGAGCTCCTGTGACCTCCTACGCTCCTGATACTAAAATAAAGTAAAATATGACATACACTAAAAACGTTTTTATATAAAAGAGAGATTAATATATAAAATATAATATAAAAGAGAATTAATATATAAAATATTATATAAAAGAGAGATATAACTACGATCACCTGTTAATCTTAATTATCTTAAATATCTGATAAATAAATCAATCTTATATATATATATATATATATATATATATATATATATATATTATATATATATAATATATATATATTATAAAATACAAATTAAATCACAATTATTAATTTAATTTTATGTTGTTCAAACACTCAGTGCTATAGGAAGATTATGGAATAAAATATAAATATAAAACATAGACTAAATAAATAATATAATTATGGAATTAAACATTTAAAATTGTAATCCTCGAATTATTTATAAAGGTTTTTTAATATATTACTGAAATTCTAAAAGGACAGAGGAAAAATAATAATAAATATTGTAATCTAAATATATATTTTTTTTTTAAATTTTTATTATGATATTTACAACTGTGTTAGTATAACTACATCAAGTAAATGTGTACAGAGGAATATAATAACATGAAAACGCTTGTTGAGAAACTTATATATATATACACCACCTAACTATGAATAGGAAGGTATTGATGGAAAATTTATCTATTAGTTAACACTTTTTATTTTTTGGTATGATGTATTTTTTTTAATCATATTTATGTTTCGTGACTATTGTATTTTGCTTGTTTTAGGAAAAATCTTCATGCAAGACATAAGCTAGACACAGATATTGACAAATATTATTACACGCTCCACAATGTAATAATTCCAGATTTTATGGATATGGTTAAGGAAATACCAGGTTATCCAGAAAGGATTAAGAAGGTAATGTAATATATAAATAATATATATATATATATATATATATATATATATATATATATATATATATATATATTTTTTTCATTATTATTAAACTTTTTTTTGACCCAGAGATGAGGGCGGGGTTTAATGGCTGAGTTAAAAGCCCATTTCCCTTCCCCTTGGCAATTGAACTTGTAATATATGAGTAAATTATAAGTTATTAATGATTATTATTATTATTATACAAGATATAAATCATCTCAGCAGGTCTCTTGGCTAACGTCAGTCTCTGGTGAATATTATTGTAGTTTTCTTTTGCAGTGTCTGAAATTGTTGGGATGTTTAAGTATGTTTTTAATCCATAATTTGCGACCCTTTTCGACTGGAAAGATTTTTTTTGTTTTTTAACGATACTTTCGAACGTCTGTTTAGCAACCCACAAAATTTACCGTTTCATTCCCTTCGTTTTTGTTCGATGCGAGTCCTCCAAGTACGTATTTTGTCTAAGCAAAAACCCAAATCTCGGATTTCAATGTTATTAAAACATATTTCGGGGGAAGATGTATGGTTAATCGTGAATCAGATAATTTTTTTGAGAGATAATTAAAAAGGGGATTCTGCATTTAATTTTCGGAACCCTTTATATAGATAAATAAATAAATAAATATATATATATATATATATATATATATATATATATATATATATATATATATATTTATAAATTAAATAATTTTAATTCTCTGAAAGACAAAGTAATATAAATATATAAATTTAAGTAAATATACATTTACTTTTTGTGTAGAATAACATAAAAATATCGGCTATGGTATTAAATGAATTATAATCATGATTATATATTTGTTATGAAATAGCAAGTTAGTTTGGTTTTAGTATCCCTCAAAACTCCCTAAAAACTAATATACTATTTCATAACGAAAATTTACTCGATCTACTTTACTGGAAGCGCCTTATAGTTTCTACAATTTATGATATATTATAACTTATTTAATACCATGGTCAATATTTTTTTCGTATTTTGCCTCCCAAAAATGGAATTGAATGGTATATAACACAGGTGGCCTCCATTACCTGCGGCCTCCAAACATTATTTATTTTAATATGAATATTTATTATTCTAGCTGTAGGATTAATTAAATTTATTTATTTAGGTAACAAAAATTTTCTTTCCTCGGCTCCTAGGGCCAGTTGAAACGAACGCCGGGACATGTATCCATTTTTGATGTACTATCACCGGAAAAAAAATTGGTTGAAATTGGTGACACCGTAAAACTCCCCTCGTAAGATTACTTGCTGTGGTGTTACTGGTAAAATTATTACCATTGACATTGATGCATTGTAACAAAAAAACAACAAAGCTGAGAAATAACCTCTTTGGGTTATATTAAGGACGTCATAAGATCCATTATTATATTTTTGTTTTGTATAATTAGTCTATAAAGACTAATTAAACAAAAATGAAGTAACCTTCACGTTACAAAACAATTCACGGCTTACAATGTACGTAAAAACTAACTCCTGCACTAAGAGAGGATATTCCTTATTTCCGTGCTCTTAGCAATTTTCTACCTTGCATTGCTCCAAAATAGGAACAGTAATTGTGACAGAAAACTATCAGCATATATTAGAGGCTTTACTATTGTAGTTCACTGCACTTAAAATCTCGCCGAAATTTATACTTGTAAGCTTTGTTTGTGAAGGGATAAATAATATAATAATACTTTATTTATTCTGGGACGAGTTTCTTTAGAATAATACAGAAAGACAGAAATTTGGGCTAAGGAGTCTCAGAGGTACATAAAAAAAAAAATACAGAATAATTAAATAGTCAAAATAAAAAAAAAATATAAGTTAATTTCTAATTTTAATCAGTTAATAATAAAAATAAAAAATAGAAAAAAAATATGAAGTAAAAATAATGAATAACGATCTAATAATTGATATACATATTTACAGTGGTATCTACTTACGATTTTATAGCGACTTGATGGATAAGAAATTATTGAACAGGCGGGATTTAAATGTAGGAAGGGTATTGGATTGACGGATGTGGGAAGGGATGGAGTTGCATAGAGATGAGGATCGGATTATGAACGGATCTGTCGAGAGCAGCGGTTCGGTGGGCCTTTATGTATAAATCAGAATATAGTGCTTTATTACTTCTCAAATCACTCTCTGTTAACGCCCGAATATACGCCTTTTATTTTACTTTACTTTTTCTTTCGTTTATTTTTTTTTTACCATTCGCCCCTTTTTATATGTCAATAATAAAATTTTTATTTATTTTTTTTTTTGTAAAAGGCCAAGGGACAATTGTCCCAGAAATGTATATTGTTTATATATTTAGGTTTATTCGCGATGTATTATCGCATTTGTATATGCACAATGTATATGTATTAGGGATTAAGACACCAAAATACTGCGAATATACTGCAGGGTGGGCAGTATCGAGCGAACCTTTGTTTAGGTTGGGTCCACGTATTGGACATTTACTCTCCTCCCTCCATTTCACCAGCTCCAGTCTCATCTCACCTCACCTGCGCCAGCCTAGCGCCATTTTGAAGATCCCAGCTGTCATCGATCAAGATCGATATGCATATTGATTCCCCCACAATCGACTGCCTTTGACAGCTGGACATCCAGGTAACCTCTTTGGAAGTTTAGTCTCCAACTTGGATATTTTCGTTTTATTCTCTCACCGTTAGCACATACATTTATAATTTAGATAATCAATTTTGGTGAACCATTTTTTTTTATTTTTCACTGAATTTCGTAGTTTGTTTTATTTTATTTAAGTGCATTTTAATAATCTTTTTTTCATTTGTTTGGTTTAACTTTTGTATATATATTTCTTTATCACATTAATAAATATTGTAAACATTCAAAAAAGGGACATTATTATTTTCCTTTTTTATTGACTGAATGCTTTTATTTTAATATTTTCATGTGCATGTTTTTTTTTCTCATTTACATATTCACTCATTTTTTTCTCCTTCTTTCCCACCATTTAATTTTCCTCACCTTTGAGGAAACTCACCGGGGAAATGCTTGTATTTTCGATTTTGAAGTACCCCTGGCCCTAACACCCTCTTTACCAAATAATTAATGTCATATGATTAAAAAAAAATTTCTTAAATTCAAACTACCGGGCAAGAAAAAAACAACTGGATGGACCTCTGCACCCATCTCTAAGAAATCAATATTTACCATCTCCAACTTCTGGAACTCTAAGAAGAAAAAGCAGAGATTTCAGTCTCTTCTAATCGGCATATTTACCAAATTCACTACGCCATTTTAACTTCCATATTGTATTAAAAAATATATATATTTCATCGAATAGGTAAAATCATGTTGCGTTTAAATTAGTGGGTTTGAGCATACCATTACTTAATAGAACTGCTCGAGCTTAATAATTAAGAGTAAAATATAATTTTTAAAAATTGTAAATGTTGATAAACAATTTTATTTGATAGATGTAAATCAGTTGTTATAATCAGCTTATTGTATTTCAGTGCGTTGCTCACACCACTCCATCATATTTTGAAGGATGGGCCTTCAGCACCGAATTAATATACAAAACAGTGGCAGATAAACAACATCAAACAGAAAGGAACTTAGAAAAGTGTAGAATCATCAGAGCTTTGATGGATATGGTATGTTAAATCAGTTATCAAATCAATTTTTTTTACAATTTACACATATTGTGGGAGAATGGAGAAGGATATAGGATTTTTATCATTTTGATGCACTTACTGAGGTTTTGCATTAAAAACTAAGGTCGAAATTTATTTAAGCCATACTTAAAATTTACCTCTACCAAAAATGTCCATTAACGAAAAACCCACGATATGTGTAAAAAACACATAGCCTAAAAATACTTAACAGATCATTCATTACTGAATTTTTATTAAAAATTGTGGAGCCTCAATAAGAGATCAAATTGTTGCCTCAGTTGTATCTTATAAAGATCTATCTACATGAATATAAAAAATCCGGTGCACGCAGCACACAACTTTCACTTACCTTTCTACTTTGAACAGAAATTATTTTCTGGCAATCAAATTTTTGAAGTGCACTTTTAAGGGAGCTTTACAGCTTTATAGGTTGAGGTTTACAGCTGACAAATCATTAACACCATTAAAATAACAAAAACCATATTAATTATATCAACGGTAGACAATAAAAACCACGGTACTCGATCTGTTTTAGTAAACCACATAACTCCAGTCTCTGAGAAATATACATATACCTATAGAGATTTGAAAGTATATCTCTATATTAAGGCTATAAATGATTATGGATTGTACGCCTATTAGTTATTAAACTGTTATTTTTCATTTTAAAGTTTATTACAAAGAAGTTACGAGATTTTCATTGCCTGCCATAGTCAGGTCAAAAGTTTTTGCATTAATTTTAAGCTGATAATCTTTGGATTTCACAAAGGGAAGCCGTTTGTGCGAAAATTGTAAAAATGTGTTTAATGGTGGACATAAAGTGCCACTTCCGGTTATTCGATTTTAATGGAAAAGTTACTGTCACATCCAAGGCGTATACCTATATTAAATACGTGATATTCGAAAGAATTTTCGTTTTTGAGCTTGACTTACCACATATATACACACAAAGACCATTTTCCGGTACCTGGTTATTTAGACTCAGAGGACCTGAAAACGTGTATTTCCGCTGAAAATTCAGATTCGAAAATTTTCACAATCGCAATACTTTCCCTTACTATATACTAAGTAAGTGAAAGTAAAAATCATTGCAAAGCAGTGATTGAGCGGTGTAATATTACGATCGGTTAAGAATAAGGATCCGCTTAACTTTATAAAAAGGTCAGAGTTACAAAACATGTTCAAAATTTAGTTTTTTTAAATATTTTTTTTTTTTTATGAAATCATTTTGAAGAGTGCCTAACCAGTCTTATCAGACCATATGGCTTTAAGGTTTTCCCATTTCTGCAATGCATTATAACATTTTGATTTTTCATCACGTATGCTTGCAGAGCTATGCGATGGCAGGAATACTTGATGACTATGTTGACAAAGGTGAGTTCAGACGAGGTAAGAAGGTTTGGGCTTCCGTATGTGAGGGAGGCCAAGAAGCTGCAATCTACGACTCCATTGCTGTCACCTACTTGATGTCACTTATGGTTAAGCGCCACTTCGGTACGGATCCAGGATATAGCAAGCTGATAGAATTATTTAATATGGTAATATGAATTTTTTAACTATGTATATATATATATATTTTTTAATTTACCAAAGCGTTTCTGATAGCAACTAAATAATTCCGCTTTGTTCTGATATAAAACAATTGCTCCTGCAATAGAATTGAATAATTCTTCAGGTTCCGTAAATCATTTTCTTACATTGTCTAGTTCCGCTAATGTTTGGGGCCTTATCTGGGGTTTATGTGGGCCTTATATGGAGCCTCGGTGTTTAGGGGTTTATCTGCAACTGGCTGATGGTGCCATAATTAAGGCCTGTTCTAAAGTTATCTACCTTTGAGCAGAAATTACCAGACTGAGAAATAACAGAAATTTGAAAAGATGCAAAAGAATACTAAGTCTCGGCCCAATCCAATTACATATAAATGTTCTTTGTCGAAACAAGTGTTTGGTTGTAGATAGAAATAAATCTTAAAGGATGGTCGTAAATCTCAAAGATTTGCCAGCCGACACTAGCGGATCCAGGATTTAATTTTGGGAGGAAGGGACTTCAGCACGAAAGGTTTTTTTTTCATAAAAATAACGATAATTACTTTGGAAAAAAAGAATAAACTAACTGCCTACATGAAATGGTGTTTAAGTGATTCCTAAAGTCCTTTTAAATGTGATTACATGAACAATAATACTTTAAGAGATAATTTTCTAATATTTTTTTCCATAAATCAGGTTACATTTTACCATTTTGGGGAGGGGGACTTCAGTCGAAAGTCCTCCCCCCCCCCCCGTAGATCCGCCCGTGCCAGCCGACGAGTGAATTCTTTCATACTACGGTCGGTCTACGTTGAAATAAAAAAAAAAAAATAGAAAATTTGGGTGCTCCTTATAACAACTCCATATTCCCATAAATTATGTTGCAATTGGGTCTCTGAAAGGAGAGGAAATCCGGAAATAATAAAAAGATCATCTGAATGAATTAACGGACGAAAATAATAGAAATAAAATAAAATCCCTATATTAATCCGGCATGGAACAATATTTGTTGTAAATGTTAAACATCTTAAAAATCATGATTCTCTTTTTTTTTAAATTTATTTATTGAATAACCCCCTACCCACCAATTCTGGCATACGGGGGGGTTGAGGGTAGGAGGGATTCTTCTATAGGTACAAACATATTCTAACCAGAGTGAGAGGGTCGAGTTTCATTCCGTGGGTTAGTCACGAAATAATAGTCGCTAGGCACGAGGGCGCTAGAACGGGCAACGCTCCAACACACTCGTCCGTCACGACCTCACCAAAACCATGATTACCTGTAAAGCCATCTCCAACAATTGGAACTTTTGATTCTGAAGTGACCAAAATAATCGCACTACATTCCAGTGCCTACAGACATGTTCTTAAGAATTCTTAAGGATAAAGTATAACTTAAACGATCGCATTCCCGTAAAGTGCATTCACGAGTAGAATCGATTACCTGAACCAAGACAATCTTAATTCCATTTGAAGGCATAGAATAAAAATACTTTGCTCCAAAATATTTTTATATTTCTCATAATCTGTTACCTCACCAAAATTGTATGACGTTTAAGGAAGTGGAATAGCCAGCAGTATGAATATGAAACGTGTAAACCAAAATAGCCGTTGAAAACGAAAAAAAAATAAGGTTGACGTAATAATTATAAACTGCTTAAATATGTTTCTTAAATAGTGAGTTTCAAAGATTTAAATGTTCCCTTGGACCGCCAGACCGGACCGAGTCTCATACGACTGTTTTTTTCGTTTTCTCGTCCTCGCTTTCTAGTCTAAAGGAGGTTTTTCCGAGCCAGAGGGTGAGGGAAGGAAATTAATGCCAAAGTCAAATGCCTTCCTTAACATTGGGACGCGAACTCATAATTATTTTCGTCAATTATCTCATATATCAAAAGTGGTTCTGTGCACACGCGTTAGCTCCCTCGGTCACCCCGCCCTGGTCTTATACGACTTAAGTTACTGGAGGGTATATCTTTCGTATTTTCCTCAACGTAATGCTGCACTTGCAAAATAACGGCTGTTCCTTACCTCCAATATGGCTTGCTCTATTTAGCGTCCGCCCGGTCGATCGGTATACGTTAAGCTAGAGAACCTAAACTTCATAAACAGGAAAAAGATCAGCCTACATAATTTTGCATGTTGGTTGCTCTGTCAATAGCGATATTGTCAGTAACTTATGGCACATTTTATTCTATACGCATCTATAACAACAATAGATGACTACGTTTAGAACCACGACTGATAAATAAGTAAATATGTAAACAATAGACACACACACACAAATATATATATATATATTTCAGTCATTCTCTTAAAAGCAGTTATCAGTTGTTGCTATATGTTATATGATCTCGTTTCCATTAGATGCTTAAAATGTGCCATGTATAGTAATATTTATTTCCATGTATTTTGTTTGTTTATTAATTTTTCAAGGCTTGTGAATAGTTACCATCATTCATTACGAAAAAGTAGTTAATTTATTTCATGTACATGTAAATGAAATTGAATAATAATAGTCGCAGACATTGATTTATTCACTTGTTCTTGTTCTTAAACAAAAATAAGGTTCCTGGCACAGCGGCGATAGGGAACACGCTGGATATCCTTGACCGTCACGACACAAACTACTATGATGATACAATGTGGAAACATTCCGTCCAAAACAAAGCAGCGAATACTGTATTTCCTGCAGCAACAGCTGGCCTAATTCATGTAAGTGTCTTAGTGCTTATTATTATATATATATATATAATAATAACCTAATAACCTTAGAATATATACCTAATATAATCTAAGACCCTTTCCCTCTCCTGTGGTGTCCCTCAAGGTTCCTCTCTATCTCCTTCTCTGTTTGTTACTTATATTAATGATCTTCCTCTCCTGATCCGTCACTCCCAATACCATATCTATGCAGATGATTTCAAAATATACCTGGTACATTCCCCTCCCCCTCCCCCTCCGACCTATTATCAGCCACAGAAAAACTTCAGGAAGACTTGGGTAAGATTTGTGACTGGGCGAGAGCCAACAAGTTGAAGGTAAATGCGGAAAAGACAAAGGTAATCTTAATTGGCTCCAATCACCTCCTTAAAACTGTCTCCAATATTCCAACTCTGTTCCTACATGATAATCCCATTAAATCCCATCCACTTTGACTATTGCTGTACGGTATATGGGGGCGTCTCTGGGGATCTCGGGGCGAAATTAAAACGTTTGATAATTGCTTTGTATGATTCATCTTCGGGATCCCAAGGGACGCCTCTGTTTCCCGTTTTTATGTAGAGTTGAAGTGAATTTATCCTTTCTATCGTTGTAAATATTTCCTGACATCCCCCCACATTCAAGTCATCCAATCCCACCGTCCCTCATACATCTCCGTGCTCCTCCGATTCAAATCCTCTGTTCGCTCCCCCAATACTCGTTCCAGGTCTTCTGATTTATACATAAGCACCCACAGAACTGCTGCTTTCGACAGATCGTTATTATCATTATCCGATCCTCATCCCTATGGAGCTCCATCCCTTCCCACATCCGTCAATCCAATACCCTTCCTACCTTTGAATCCCGCCTGTTCAATCATTTCTTATCCTCCCAGTCCCCCAAAAATTGTAAATAGATACCACTGTAAATATGTATATAAATTATTAGATCGTTCTTCGTTATTTTTACTTTATTTTCAATTTTTTATTATTAACTTATTTAAGTTAGAAAGTAACTTATAATTTTTTATTATGACTATTTCATTACTCAGCATTTTTTTTTATGTATCTCTGAGGCTCCTTAGCCCACATTTTTGTTCTTCTATATTATTCTAAAGGGACCCATCCCAGAATAAATAAAGTATTATTATTTTTTCAATTTTCGTCTTTACGCCGGATAAATCCACTGACACGGACCGAGGTCAAGGGTACAGTTTATTAACTATTTAATTTGAAACATTAAAAACTGTTCGAACAATGTTGGCGGTTCCCAGCATTACCGCTTTCTGGGTTTCCTGAAGTTCCCAGCTTAATCCAAGTACCTTAAAGCTCTTGATACTTCCGAATTTTTTCACTTAATGTTTTAGCTACATTAGCATCAGCAGGAACTCCAACTTCGATAAAGATGCCTTTTTTTGTATCTTTGTTAACGAGCAGTATATCTGGTCTATTGTGAGGAATACTATGGTCAGCTATTATTAATATTACTATTATATATATATATATATATATATATATATATATATATATATATATATATATATATATATATATATATAGTCCTAAAAAAAGTTTATTAGTTCGGTTTCTCTAAAAATGTATTTGGTTTTCCAGACAGAAACTGTATAAATTAGAGTAATGTTTACAAAAAATCATTTACCAAAGATATGCTGTCATATAAGGAACTACTGTTAGTATCGGTACTTTTGATTATATAAGAAGATGAGAGTAAAAATATATAAGTATAACATATCGTCGGTATGCTTAGGATTTTAGAAAAAATATATAGTAAAGATAGTCCCAGAAGTCAAATTCTTATAGTTGATACTGTCTAGTTTTATTATTATTAATGATTGGGAAATAAACGTTTCTATGTCATCACATAAAATGTTTGTAAAAACTAAATAGAAACTTTGAATGCATTTATTTTGAACATTTATTCTACGCTTAAAATAGATATACACAATGCATCAATGGAAAATGGACGCATTGCAATTTTCACATACTAATGTGAGAAAAAACAATAGAAGTGCCTGTAACTCAAAATATTTCAAGGAGCGTTATGAATGGAAAATGCTCATTACCTCAAATAACTTTATTATATCCTGGAGCTACCAATATCCCATGATATGAAGGAAAGGGAGTTAAGATAGGCGGGGCATGTAACTGGGAGCAATCCATTCGGAAGCCTCAAGATGACAACGAATGTCTCAATAGTATGCAAAACACTATGGAAGGCTAAAAAGCAGAGCAAAAAATAAATAAATAAATTTAATAAAACAAATGAAAAATAACAACTAAAGAATAATCAATAAGTATATACAATAAATAAAAACTAATCAAGTTAAAGATAAGTAAAGTAAAACACACAGATATATCTATGTTAACTATTTACAACCAGCCAAGGGAACTAAGGACCGGTCTTACTCCTTTACAAGACTGGAAAGCAGGACTCCAGGAGATGCCTGCTAAAATCTAATGTGAAATATGAGGATTTCATAGTGTGGGTAACATAGAACGGAGCCTTTACTATTGTTGCTAATTATTGTGGAAGGCAAAGCAAGACTCAAGGAGATCGCAGCTCTACTTTTCCGCCGCGTCACTGAGAGCTAGTTGAGACCTGGACAACTGGTCTCAGTTGGAACTGAACAAACCTGGATGTTTGCTGGATGCTTCTTCCCCCAACTATAGAAGAAAAAACAGGACTTCAAGAGATCCCTGGGCTACTCTCTCAATCGCGTCACTGCTGTTAAAGCCTGTGGAGTTTGAGTGAGAGCCCTATAGCCAGATACACTCATGTCTTGAGTGGAGAAGCTGGTAATTGCCAGGACATCATTATCCTATTTACAAAAGATCTCGAGACTACTGCCTTTTAAACCTTCGGAGAAGATTATAAGGATAGTAGAAATTGGATAGGGATTGAGCTAAAGCATTAGGATGATGAATAAGGTTCTGGCAAAAGTTTGTAAACCGGAACAGTATGATGTCAAGGACATATGGGATGTTAATGTCATGGTGAAAGATCTTGTTTGTGACATAAGATGAGGTGACATAAGGTGGGCGTTAACTATTGTTCGAAGGACTTTGAACTGGAAGGATTGGATGCATTTGATATTAGAAAATTCTGCGGATCACTACAGTTGTAGTCCATGAATCCAGATGGTTTTCAGGATTTTTTAGTACACAGAAAACTAAATCTGCAAGTGACTTGTTGAACTTTCCTTCTATGAAATCAAACCATTCATAGCATTATGCACTTCTATTAGTGTGATTAATTTTGGCATGTATTAAGATTCGTGTTACTATAATGCAATTAATAATTTTTTTTTCAGAAATAGTGAACGTAGTTCGCATATATTTTCATTAAAGTTTAGCTTCAATAAAAATCCACTTCAACAACTTTTCTCATAGCCCAATATGAGCAGAAAATCACTTGAATAACCTCATATCAAGTCACAAATTGGTGGATATCTGTCACCAAGATCAAAATTTAGTTAGAAGTTGGTTTTTATAGCTTTTACTTTATTTAGATAATAGACCTAGTAAGCGACTAGTTTGAGTATACGGAGTTTAGATTCCACTGGAAGAAAATTCAATTAATCATGTAGTTATTTATTACATTATGTAAACCAACCACATATTGTATATTTATTATATTCATATGAATGATATTATTACCACTAACTAACTATCGGAATAACAATATTAATTGATGAATTTCTGGTCAATCGTTGACTGATTGTTATTTATTTCACTTCGCAGGCAGGAGTACTCTGTGATGACCTACTTGATAGGACTAGTGAAGTGTTTGGCTACACTGGACATCTGTTTCAAGTCTGGGTGAGTTAACATTTATTGCAAATTTAAAATATTTAGGCATTACAGATTAACTAAAATGTGTCAATATGGTGTTGTTTTACCAAGGTTCCATTAATTCACTCCCCAAATCAGTTAGATTGTAGACTTTATACATTAATTTGGCTTAACTGCTTTGCTTGCTGAAATTTAATAAATTATACAGGGTGTTTCAGAGTTAAGTGGCCAAACTGCAAAAACGAACTAAGGACCTTAAACGAGAAAAAAAAAATCTTCTGAAGGTATGACCGCAAATACAAAGCATTTGTGAATAGGAGATATTCACACCTAATGATTTTCGTTGTAATGAATTTTTTACGTTATATGAAATAAATAAAACCAATTTATTTGTTCGATCTACATTAATAATTAAATGTAAACATTAACATTCATTTTCAATGTTTTTCAAAGTGAACGTATGTCCGCAAAAGCTTTGTTTAGGAGATGGATTAGATAGAATATTAATATAGCCTTTTATCCCTAACTGTATAAAAATTAATGACAACATAAGCATTAATACTATTTGGAATTTGCATTGGGAAGTCCCAATAACATTTATCAGTTTGTAACAGGCTTTCGCAGAGTACTCATCATTATGCCTTCCTTAATAGTAATGGTGAATATACCGATATGGTGTTTGTATACGGTTTTTGCAATGGTAATGCTATAATGCTGCTCGTCGTGAATATGCCAGGCAATTTCCGAATAGAAGATTACCAAACAAGTCTATTTTGAGCTCCACGTTGTAACTTCTTAGAGAAACTGATACATTTGCTATAACACCATCTACTAATGGTATGTTTGCTCATTCACAACAATAGCCAAAATCACTTTGAACAACATTTAATATGAGTATAATGTTAAATTTTAATTAATAAACTATTTAGAACAAATAAATAAGTTTTGTTTACTTAATGTAACGTAAATAATTCATAACAATGAAAATCTTTAGGTGTGAATATCTCCTAAGCAAAGAGTTTGCGGACATATCTCCAGGGGAAATTTTTTTTTGTTTTGATGTCCTTTTTTCATATTTTCAGTTTGGCCACTTAACCCTGAAAATCCTGTGGACAAGATATATGATTAAATAAAAATAAATTCTAAGTTCTCTAATGAAATATTGATTAAAATTAAATAATGGTTTATTTCCAAAGTTGCTGTATATTAGTTAAACACACACACTCACACTTCCATTTTCTAGAGTTATATATATATATATATATATATATATATATATATATATATATATGAGCCTTTCAGTTGACAGAATGAATAACTCCAACAATTACAACATAGTGATATTTCTAGTAGGAAAATTTATAATATCTGTGTATATACAGTGGGTAAGTTGATTCCTGAGTTGATGATTGCAGTGTTGAAATATAGAACTGTTAATAAAAAGAATACATTTTCCCACTAAAAATATCACTAAAATTAGTAATTTAAATATTGAAATTGGAGTTAATCAATTTCAGACTTCGTCTAAGTTATTTCTTAGTCTTTATTTTCATTATTGAGATTTTTTCCGTCCTTTATTACTATAGGACCCGTTAGTGGACGTACAGATCTGTGTTTTTCTCTTCCGGGTCACTGATCTTTACACTTAAGATACTGGTTTAGAACATAATTCACACATCGACTATTTGGCTTGGGTATGTAACTGGACTTTCACTCAACAGCACCAACACTCCTGTAAAACTTTAATAAAACCCTGTAATTATTAACGAGCCCAAGTAACACGGATCCGGCACTATATCCCATAACATTATATTAAATGTTTCTTTTTGTTTATAATGGTACAGGATGATTTCATGGAACACTACGCTGTGAAAGAACAATCTGGCAAAGGTGCTCCAGATACCAAATATAACGCAAAAACTTGGGCAACGTTGACTGCAATGGCCCACTTTAATGAAGCCCAAGCCAAGGAGTTTAAGGTGAGAGCATTAACAAAATGTCAGAAGATAGGTAAAAAGAGAAAGAGAGAGAGAGAGAGAGAGAGAGAGAGAGAGAGAGAGAGAGAGAGAGAGAGAGAGAGAGAGAGAGAGAGAGAGAGAGAGAGAGAGAGAGAGAGAGAGAGAGAGAGAGAGAGAGAGAGAGAGAGAGAGAGAGAGAGAGAGAGAGAGAGAGAGAGAAATATCTGCTCGCAATGTTTGATTTTGAATGTGTAGACATCTTGTTCAATTTTAATGTATTTAAATTTATTTCATTAAAACATTTCTTTGGTGAATTTTTATATTATAATTGATATTGTTGAATAGGCCTGCTACGGGTCCACCGATCCAGCCAAAAGATCGAGAGTGCGCGAACTATATGATGAAGTGAATTTACGAGGACTATATATTGATTATCTCAGAAATACTTATATGGTCGTGGAAGAAAAAATCAGCAAAATTCCCGATCCCAGAATACAAAGTGCCTGTAGAAGCTACATGGATTGGTTGCTTGTTGAACCACCCCAGGATGAAGAAGAAGCTGAAAGCGTATTAAATAACTGAGAGGACAGAAAGACTAAGTAGACTAAATGTTATGTGAACATGCCATATCAAATAAACGACAATTTATTGTCACACATTATATTTTGTTTTTAGAGGTGTACATATTTTATTCCACCCATCACAGTTGAGATCTCTGTGTTTCATTTGTTTCATGAAAAATTCGTTTTAAATTTTTATATTATAGTTTATATATATATATATATATATATATATATATATATATATATATATATATATATATATATATATATATATATATATATATATATATATATATACAATACCTATATACAATACATACAATACATACATACAATTCAAACCTATATACAATACATACAATCAGGTAGAGAATCCCAAGCCAGGCTTCTCACCCCAACTATAGAAGGAAAAACCGGACTTCAAGAGATCCCTGCGCTACTCTCTCAACCACGTCACTGCTGCTAAAGCCAGTTTGAGCGAGAACGCTTCAGCCACATACACTCATGTCTTGAGTGGAGAATCTGGCCATTGCCAAAACTCCAAGATATATACTACAAAAGATCTCTGGGCCACTGCCGCTTCAACCTTAAGGAGGATTGTAGGGATGAGTGGAACTAGATAGGAATTGTGCTAGGGGAATACGGGTGCTTTATAAGGTTCTGATAAAATTTGGAAAAATTTTCAGGGATAAGGTCGAGGACAAATGGGAAATTAAGATCATGGTGTAGTGTTTTGGTGGTTACATAGAACGTCGCATCGACTATTGTTCGGAGGAATTTGGACTGAAAGGATTGGATGCGTTTGATGTTAGAGAATTTAGCAGTCCCTCAAAGTTCAAGTCCGTAGATCCAAATAGGTTTAAAGATTGTCTTGTATATCAGGAATTTGTTGACAATTGAAAGTTGAGACATTTATTAATTTGTTCATTTATTAATTACTGTTTCCGTCCACATAGCCACTTTCAAAGTTTGCGCATCAATGCAACCTCTCTTAATTTACATATTAAGTGTTGAAAATTAATATGTAAATTTATCGGGTATTACAGAAGTGCCTTTTGGAAGTTTCAACTGTTTCTCGACCACTAGTTTTGCCCAAAATCGGTCTCAATCTTGCACTTTGCAAGACCAAGACCAAGGCCGCCTGACTGTTGCAGACCAAGACCAGGACTGGTAAAAAAAATCGATTTTTTGAAAACCATAAAGGCAAAAGTATTAACTTGACAATCTTTGTTACTATATGTAAATAATTGGTATTACCAATATACTTTGGCATTTAACTCCTCTAATTTTTCATTCGGGTTTAGTAAGGTTTCTCCTATCTAAAAAATTACAGTAATATCTCTATACCAATAAGCTAATAAGTAACTGCAAAACTGTTGCGAGACTCTTGCTTAAGACCAAGACTCGTCTCGGTCTCGCATTTGGGAAACACTATCGACCACCTTTCAATTTTTCTGTTCGTAATTTAACGCGTATTAAAATATTTGCGCATCTCCTCTTAATATTTTCTGCTACTTCTACCATGACATGAAAATAAAAAAAAAGAAATTCTGCAGTTAAATTTTCTTACGTAAGTATTAAAAAAAACAATTTTATTTTCAAACAAAAATTATATTAAAATAGTACTTTAAAGAAGAAACTCTGTTACTTACGTGTTTTTGTTGTTTTATTTTTTTTGTTAAAGAATTTATCTACTTGTTTTTCGTTGTGATTATTAATTATTCATAGTAACTAAGTTAATCATGAAAATAGCTAAAATTACACAGCTAAAATAAATAGTTGACTATTTTCCCTAATAACTAATTCAGCTATAAGAATTATTTCTGGACAAATCGATAACGCTGTTTCTTAAATATATTCCTGTTGCTGTTATAATTAATTAAGCTATGGTTTTTAGCTGTTAGTTACAAATAATTTCTTCGCAATTCTATGTAGAGGAAAACTCAAACACATGACACTCCTGTCGCTCTTCTTGGTTGGGTAAAAAACGACTATTGTATTCACTGTCTAATTATTTGAATCAGTATGCGCATGCGCCAGTTTCTATCTACCAACCTGCTACATCGTCTCCCACAAAGTGACTTAATTACCAGTTAATTAGTGAACTTTAGTGCAATAAAACAGTGACAATTCAACATTTATCAATTGACTATTCAACTCAACATAAACAAAGTGAGTAAACAACTTGTTTATTAACATTAGGACTACAGTGTAAACAACGATAGTTTTATAGGTAGAGGCTATCATTGCTCCCCCCCCCCACTACCTTTAGTTGCCTCCGTGGCTTCTAAGGGGGAACACGTATACTTTGGAGGCCTCTACAAGTCTACGTAATTAGTTACGTACTAAAAACTTTTATTTATTTATTTTTTTCTCCTCTCTTTTATTTACCAGCCTACCGTCATGAGATGCGATATTACCATATGATAATGTCTAGCAAAAACAAAAGATCTAGGAGTTTAGGGAATAACAGCCCTCGAAGTTCACCGGTAAAACAGAAGCCTAGACGTTCTAATAGAAAAACGCCACCTTCAACACCTGATAACCCTAGTGATAGCATGAATGACCCTCAACCTGGTACTTCAACGAAAAATATGACTGCACAAAATATAAACAACGAAACAGACGAATCTCCATTTTTACTCCTAACCCATATCAATTACTGTCATTAGAAGAAACAATGGAAATACCACCAACCCCCAGAGAACCAAAACCACCTCCTATATTCATCAGAAATATAAAAAAATTTCCCGCTATTTTGCCAGCATCTAAATAAAATACTGGACAACGGCAAATACATATGCCAAACTCAAATCAATGACACGAAGTTGATGCCAGATTCCCCCGAAACTTATAAAAAAATTGTCAAATATTTAACTGATACAAAGGCGGAATTTCACACTTATCAGTTATTCCAAGAAAGAGCACTAAGAGTAGTGATAAGAGGCCTACACCCTTCAACTCCACCTGATGCAATCAAGGAAGAATTAACGGATCTAGGATTCAGTGTCCGCCAAATCGTTAATATATTTAAAGAAAATAAAGAGCAGCCGGGCACAAATAATAAAATAGCCCTACCATTATTTTTAGTAGACCTAGAGCGCACCACTGGGGTCGATAATATTTACAAATTAAGACGCCTGTACTACACTAGTATAGTTGTTGAAAAACCATATAGCAAGAAGGAAATAGTTCAATGCCATAATTGCCAATCTTATGGCCACATTAAAAGTTATTGCCACCGCTTACCGCGCTGCGTGAAGTGCGGGCAACAACACAAATCGGAAGAATGCAGTAAGTCCAGGCAAACACCTGCGGTGTGCGCATTATGCCATAAAGACCACCCAGCAAACTACAAAGGATGCCAGACCTACAAAATATTAAAATCGAGACTCCTAACAGCTCCTAGACAGGAAGAGACCTCCAGGCCCTGCCACAAACTCAACCTCAACCTCATAATCCGCCACCGCAACTTAATAACACCCAAAAGCCCAGTCACCACCAAATGTACATCCCTCCCCCTAACAATTCCAATGATCTTACGAGTCTCATTTCATCATTCCTCTCCGAATTCAGATCTCTTATCACACCACTTATCTCCTTACTCACAAATGTCATATCTAACCTTATTCCACCGCCAAGAATTCCTTAAATGCCCTCAATAAAACCCCTTTCCATTCTCCTCTGGAATGCGAATGGTGTTCGAAACCACATCAATGAACTAACTTTTTTTCTACAGGACAATAACATTGACATAGTCCTAATAACTGAGACTCAACTAACTAATAAACGACAGTTCAACATACCTAGCTACAAGATTTATCGAACTGACCATCCTGATGGAACAGCACATGGAGGTACTGCTGCCATCATCCATCAATCCCTCTCCCATCACTTTTATCCTTTACCAGTACATAATTTCCTACAAACCTCAGCAATAACAATCCAAACTTCACTTTTTCCTGTCACAGTTGTCGCAGCATACTCCCCACCTAAAACAGCAATAACCGAACCTAACTTCATATCCTTTCTTAATTCCTTAGAACATCATTTCCTTATAGGTGCAGACCTTAATTCCAAACATCAGCAATGGGGACCCAGAAACACGAACTCCCGCGGGCGAACATTGCTGTCTGCACTTATTTCCCACAATAGCAACATCCTTTCCCCTGATACTCCTACATACTGGCCAACCGATCCTAACCGTAACCCTGATCTCCTTGACTTCTTCATTCACAAAGGTCTAGGGCCGTTAAATTATTCAGTTTTACGGCTTGATGACCTTTCCTCAGACCACAGTCCGCTAAACCTAACTCTTTCCGCATCTCCTATCCCCAAATTATCTCCTCCCTCATTCATCAGAGGCCCAGTCAACTGGAACCTTTTCCGCCAAACAATAGCAGATGCAATAGACCTCAGAGTATCCCTAAAAACCCCTCAAGACCTAGATAATGCAGTGAGTTCCTACACCACCTTGATCCAACAAGCAGTTTGGACTGCATCCTTACCACTTCCCTCCAAAACATACCATAAAAAGAATCCTTTGCCCCAAGACCTTACTGACCTAATTAAATCCAAACACCAATCTAGGACCCTCTGGCAAAGAACCAGGCATCCTGATGATCAAAAAATATACAATTATTATTCCAAACAGGTAAAAAAAGAACTAGCTTCCTTTAGATCCCAATCATGCAACTCGTACCTCTCTTCCTTATCTACCGATGACAATTCCCTCTGGAAATTGACCAGAAAAATCCTTAAATACCATTCTGTTTCCCATCCCCTTCGATGCGATGATGGAACCTGGGCTTCGTCAGATGAGACTAGAGCTGAAGAATTTGCCAAACACCTATCCAAAACATTCAATCCCCACCCCGAACTCCATTCCACCCTCACTGCTGAAATTAAAGAATTCCTCTCTTCTCCTATTCCTCTCTCCTTGCCTCCTATAGCTGTCAATCCCTCTGAGGTCAAATTCCTTATAAGCAACCTAAAACCTCGAAAATCCCCTGGACACGATCTCCTTACTTCCCAGATCCTAAGACAACTTCCCAAAAAAGCAATTATATTCCTCACATACCTATATAACTGTATCCTCCGCACAACTCACT